CTCCTCCTCCTGCTCTTTTCGGACCACCCCATGAAAACAGACACGAATTCCTCGGTTCGCCTGGCTGGCCCGATCAGCCGAGAGAACTAACAGGTCAAGGTCCACCGATTATCGGTCAGCATGGATTGGATCGCAATGTACAAATGATCTCCTCCGATGAGAAAAACGAGACTACTACTGTGAAACAAGTGGGCATCGAATTGAAGCCGGAAACGGAACAAAATGGGACTAATGAAACGGAATCCAATCAAATGTCAGATGTCAAAATCATTTTACCGGAGGGAATGATCGTGCGAACATCGAGTAAAAGTACCGGCCGAGATGTGGGCAGTGAATATACTATGCATCGGGGTGGAATCGGTATGATGTATCCCCCACATGCCGGATATCCGGGATCATCTCCAGACGATCTGGTGGAACAGATTCGACTGTTACAATCACAGGTGAAATTTTGGCGACAAAATTACCGTCGATGTGAAAAGTATCGAGGCAAAATTCGGTCCGCACTGAGTACCGAAATCAAACGAGCAAAGAATGCCGGATTTTCCGTTCGCCAACTCTCATTGACCGCAACACCGGTTTTGTTTGGTACTGTTTGGTTGCGTAGATTTTTGTGAATAAAAACAATTGACCGAGAAGAAGAATACAAATAACTGTTATTGATTTCTAATAACGCGTTTAAAAAAAATTATATGTGGTTACAAATGTGTACTGAATAGTTTCGCAGTCAACTTAAAGAATGCACAGCTAATGACAAGGGAAGGGTTGGAATTGGATTGTCGAGTGGCTTCGAACGAGGATTATTGTGGATCTCGTGTTTGAGTACAAACACACACAAAGAGCCTTGCTCCGGTCGCCTATCGTGAGCTTTATTTCTCCAAATCTGTCCACATGTTTTACCGGATAGTTTATGTGAGGTCCATGCTACCGATAGATCAAATTTACTTGATCAAATGCTTTAGAGAAGTCCAGGTAAATAACATCTACCCCTTGGCCTTGGTCTACGGCATAAGTTCAATCATCCCGAGCCAAAATCAAGTTAGTTGCACATGAACGATTTTTTTCGAAACCCGTGCTGGGCTGGGGATAGTAAGTAATTTTTCTCCAGATGATCAATTGTATTGTATTG